TTAGATATCAAATATCACAAACTTCTCCTGACTCTCGTAACCATGTATATCAAATATAGGTTTATCGAAATGGTGATCGGTTATTTCCAATCGCAAGAAAGTGCGAGTAAATAATAAAACGAATTTTGTATCTAAAAAAATAATTTTGTATCTTTATTTACCAGTATTAAAAAAAAATTGTATATTTATTTACTAGTATTTTAATGTTTTTACAATGTATTAACTCTTAAAAGAGGATCAACTCACTATAAATTGAAAACGCGAAAGAACACTTCATGATCGAAATTGAGTTTGATCTTTCTCTAACCGATTAGTTTCTTCAAAAATATATCGATGGAGATCGTAACTCCAGCCACGTAGCCCAATTTCCCAGTCGGAAATGAGAAGAGGACGATTCATTTTATGTTCAAGGAATAAGCCAAAAACCCAATGATAAACTACGAGGAAGACTACCAAGCAAAGTGCCATGATGATTGCTTTTGGAACAAAATATGGTGACATTGCTATTAGCATGAAGAAGATTCCACCTCCGAAGAAAGTAATGAGCCGATGAATATATCCAAGAGTGAAATTCACTAAAGCTACTAAGCCTAGAAATTGATTCCAGTAATCAAATTGAGGAAATCGCACATGCATTGAACTGAATCGCAAGAAAGAGCGAGAAATTAATGAAAATAATTTTGTAACTTTACTATTAGTGAAAACATAATTTTGTATTTATTTACTAGTACCTTTACAATGTATTAACTTGTAAAAGACGATTCAACTCGTACATACGACTCAACTCACTAAAGATTGAAAACGCGAAAAACAAGACGATGAAAAAACACTTCATGATGAAAATCGAAATTGAGCTTGATCTCTCTCTCCTTCTAACGATTACTTTCTTCAAGAATATATCGATGGAGATCGTAACTCCATCCACGGTCCATATAAAGAGCCCAATTCCCCAGCCGGGAATGAGTAGAGGACGATTCGCTTCATATTCAAGGACTAAGTAAAAAATCCAAAGAGAAACTACGTACGAGGCTGACTACCAAGAAAAATGTGCTTTTGGAACAAAATCTTGTGGCATTATTAGTCCGATTACCATGAAGAATAGTCCACCTCCCAAGAAAGAAACTAAGCCAATCAACATCTCAAGGAGTGAAATTCCCCATCCGCCATTGTTGATAACACTTGAGCCAATAAACAAGAGAGTGCCTTCCATATTGCCCCTCTAGAGAACGTGATAATAGGGCCAAGGATTGAACCACTAGACTTGCGTCATGAAACATCTAGAGACTAAAGAAGAGGGGGACTATGGAGCCAAATGCCATGAAGATAATTTTGAAATAAATTTCATGGAGTATACCAATTAAAAACTATTTAAAATTTTGCAATAAATTTTAGATTTCTTCATAAAGGAATGTCTTAAACCAAATATAAAAAAAAGTCACAAAAGATAGGAATCATAAACATAGACGTTAAGGGTGGTATTATGGTAATTAAGAATCGGTGGCCTGTCTCTCAAATCTTTCAGAGAGAGAAAGCGTCAAGTTTCCGATTTAAATCGGCTTTTGTCTTCTGGCTATGACCGGATTTGTATATTCCGATTACAATCGGATGAAAAATGGATACGAGAGG